ATTTGTGGCCGGGTAAATAGTTTACAGGAGCCCTTCCCCCTCCCCTCCCACGTAACTCCTAAGACTCACCTACAAAAACATATCCCATAGGGGTAATGTAAATAAAAATAATCTATTCATTACTTCATTTTGTTTGAATTATTAAAAGGATAAGCAAGGAAAGATATTTGCTAAGGCACTGAAGTTCTGGTCCGACGTGTCTGGGTTGAGATTCTCTGAAGTCGGTAGCGCCAGTGAGGCAGACATCAAAATAAGGTAATTTGGGCGACTAGGTAGTAAACAGGGGAAACAAATCGCTTTTCATTTAAGTATCAAAGCGTAATTGATTCTCATTAACTACGCTTGACGATTGGCTTAACAAACTCGCGCCAGTTTTTCATCCAATTATAAGAAAACCAAAACCTTCGCATTCGTTTTCTCGCGCTTTGCGTCAGCTACGTAGAGTTTTGATTGGCTCACTGTATCGTCTGCTTTCTTTGTGATTGCCTAGAGTAATAACTTTGGCTTTTTTTTTTTTTACGAAACCCAACTGAAAACCGTTTTAAATAGGAATTAAATTGGAGAAATAAATCAGGGATAAAAAGACCTAATTCGCTGGATGAGTAGACAAAGGTAGTATATTTGATTTAAAACTTTGATGACAATCTCCAGGGTATCTAATTGAACTTTACAGACTGTTCATCTTAGGGTAATGCGTCATACATGCACATTCCAATCATCAAACCGCTAGTTTATTTTTTTTCCTGTTCCAGTAGTTAGAATGAGAAGCACCACTAAAACCTATATCTGTGTCATAAGGTAACAGCTTAAGTACTGTAATGATACCTACACCAAAGGTTTGCAGCTAAATTAAGAATTTAAGGATATTACCTTTACAGGGTGCCTTTTTATTAAAGTAATTCAATACAAGAGGAAAAAAACGGAATTAAAAATGCAGCAGCAGCAACTGACACGTTGGTCAATAAGTTGCGATAATTAAAATAGTCGAAATATTGATAGGTTTTAATCGTATAGGTTTACTATGAGTACACATTCTCTTTAATTAGCTTTGGGAGAAAGAGTCACGGTGGCACCAATGTGGAGGGGACATGCCTGAAACCATTCGACGGCCCCGAAGGGATTCTAGCGCATGCGGATTACCCTCAGAGTGGGCGAGCTCATTTTGACGAGGATGAGACCTTCACCGATGGTACTTACAGTGGTACAAATCTTTTATGGGTGGCAGTGCACGAATTTGGGCATTCCTTGGGCCTGCAGCATACAAACGTCCGGGGGGCGATCATGTATCCTTACTACACAGGTTACGTCCCTAACATGAAGCTCCACTCTGATGACATTGCTGGTATTCAATATTTGTATGGTAAGGGAACCCAAGAAGAGCTGTTATAAATTTTAGGGTAGTAGGCGATGGCATGGTAACATTAGGCGAAAACGCGCTAAAGAGAGTTTGAGTAATGCGCTTTCTATGGCAAACACGTTTTCAAACTGTTTTACCATAGTTAATAGAGGGAATGGTTATGAAATTCGACAAAGTTCTTTGTTGTATGTTTTTGTTTTCTTTTTTGGCCTTGGCCGTGCACAAAACGCAATAGTTGTTTACTACTGGCCGAGGAACTAACCAATAGAAACGTTTTGGTTACGTAACTTTTTCTACAGCTCGGTAAGTTGTGTACATAACGGCGCCAATCATTCAAGTCTTTACGTTAAAGCTTCATGCACCATAACCAATTTCCATCTCCATCTTGCAGACCAAGTGTTAGCCCTCGTTGCCGCAAAAGAATAAGGAAAGGTCAAAACATGGACTTGTCCAACCGTTTTCTCTACGGTCTCTCGACCTCGTGGTCGACCAGTGACTGTGACTGTGTGGGGGTGGGGTGACCCCTACATACTCCCCCTCTAGAAAGAGATGTCCTCCTGAACATTGGAACGCATTGCTACAGCTTTTTAAATCCTAGCAACAAAAACTACTTTGAAGGGCGATCAGGCGAAATCTACTCGCTAATAATTAAGATAGCAAATAATGACTAATTACCAACTACAGTGTTCTTTTGCGGTCTCTAAATTGCTTAACAGTTGGTCACTGAACAAGTCTCTTCGTTTTTCTTTGAGAAAAAAAACATGATGCCAATGTGTTAATAGTTTAATCAAGTCCAATAAAGGTTAATGAGTTCAAGTCTTTAACGCAGGCAATCTTGTAGTTTTCTTAAACAGCCATTGGTGGCACATAGTGGTAAATGTTTGGGGGCACAAATGGTACGGACGCTAAGTACAGTGGTGTATGATAAGGTATCATCCAATGATTGTGCATGGCTAAGGTTTCGTAAGGTGTGACAGGAAACCATGTTGAAGAGACAGAAACACTGCCAGTTGTCGCTAGAGTATTCAAAGCACAAATTGGATGGTAAGTNCTGTAAGGTCACCCGAAGAATCTGGAGACGAGGACAGTGATTGCGTTCGGTTCAGCTGCCCTGAACCAGGGTGGGTCAAGGAGTACATTACAATGTGTAAGCTTGAAAAGCATATCACTTCAGAGAAACACGCCTTTCAAGATGTTTCTCAACCCATTGGTGATAAAGTAATGAAGAGATGGGCCCAACAGTTTCAACAGGTAACGTCACAGAATCTTTCATCCCAACTGGAAAACAAACTCTCTTCACTCCGTCCCCGCATAGAAGACCTCAGGTTCACCACACACCAGGTTCTTCAGAAACGCTGGGCTTTGAAGTACCTAAGGGGGCAACACGTTTTCCCGACACGGTCAGAAATTACTTCCAAGAGAAATTTGACGTCGGTAGTGCTACAGGACATAAAGCTGATCCTGTGCAAGTTTCCATCGACATGAGATGTGCAAGAGATGGGCTTGGTAGGCGTTTATTTGCCGCAAGTGAATGCCTTCAGACACAGGAGATCCGTTCATTTTTCTCCAGGCTTGCCGCAGCACAGAGGAAGAACGTGCAAAGCCCAGCAGATCTAATTGAGGACGACGTTCGAGATCTAGAAAGTGATTCTCAAGCAGAGCAGTATGAAATAGAGTTGCAAATTTAGGCTGCGTGAAAGTATCATCGCTTAGGTCGCAGAGAAGCACCCTATTTGTTATGAACGCTTCAACCTGTGTGAACTAAGTCAGCAAAACAAGTTGAAAAAGTTCAACATAGACATGCTTGTAAGGATTTGTGAGCATATTGAATTAGACATCGCCACTGTTTCCAGAAACAGAAAGGAGGGTTTCGTTGATCAAATCAAAGAGCACATTGGACATTGCAGCTGCAATATGTAACAGTTTGAGTTAAATTTACTAAGACAGACGTTAATTACATAGAAACGCTGGTTTATGCAACTGGAGCTCAGAAAAGTTTTGAGAAAAGCGAAAACAAAGATGGTACGTGGGTACATACCTGAGATACGGCAGAATTTTAGTTTGGTAAATGTAGCTACCATTTGGATAACGATTGTGGTTGCATGACTTAAAAAAAAAAATCAGCCCAGTGACTTTATGTTCAACATAACACGTAAGTCTTAATTGGGACAATCTGAGGTGATGGAACCTTTTCGCTTTAATTAAATGAAGCCAGATAAGTTGTTGTTTCTGGGAGAAAAGAAGCCAAGACATTTTAAAAGTAAAATAAGTAACGAATTTATTATCTCAAAAAGTTGAATAGCCTTTTGTGTTTACGTGGTTTAGAAAAATTGGTCACGCAAGTTTATGTTGTGTGTTATGAATGAATAACAGCTATAAAACAGCATTGTCAATGGCTAATATTAAAGTTGAACTGAAAAGCATATAAAGACAGACAAGGAATCTCTGTCTCATAAAATGAGTCAAAGCACTTTAGAAAAATTATAAGTCAGATAACCTCAAGTTATTTTGATTTTTTAAGAATTTCACGTTTACAGCTTCAGTTCTTCTACGCTGCTTGTTATAGAAACATTTATTTCACCAAAAGCGGTAGAAACCACAATTTAAGTAAAAAATGTATATCTTTCGTGTCTTCGTGGGTGGTCTCTGAGTGTCATTTTCTAGTCCCGTTAACAATCCTTGAAAAACAGAAACCCAAACTTTTAACACATTGGTCATCAATGGCAAATTACTAGGGACAAGGCAGTTTAGTTTTTATCCCTAGAAGTGGGTTGGACCCTGCGTAAACACTTAAAGAGTTCAGTCAGTTTTTCCGTTTTCAGTAAAGTGAAATTTACTAGGAACTATTTGTGCTGTTGTATATGGAAATTGACAACTTGTTCTTTGGTTTTGTAGCTATATTTGTAAAGTTAAAGCATGTTACTGATAGCGAATAAAGTTATTTGCACCGGGAAGTAATATTGGTCTGTCATTGGTACGACAAATCTGCTCATAAATTAGGCGCAATTTATCATAATTTTCGCTAGTATTACCTCGCTATCTTTTAATTCCGTTTCTGAGGCAATTCTGTGAAAATACTAAGAATAAATGACATCAATCTACAGCGCCTGGTACCCTTTTCTCATAAAATAAGTTTCAGCTAATTTGAAGAAATTTGATTTTTTGACATCCGCCGCAGTTAATGCGCATTTTGTAGTCAAGCTCTCTTAACAGCTATAAATTTCTAACAAGCTTTTACATTGTTAAAGTCAATTTTTGTCTTGTAACGTAAAATGTAAGCCTGGCTTTAATAAGACCTCGATTTATCAACCTAATACCATCTTCTTCAATCTTCGATTCTTATGGTCTTTTGATCCCCCAAAACAGCAAATCTATTTTACCACCTATTCAATTATTGTTTGATTGTGTTTACATATAGCAGACACCTGGAAAAATTGGCCTGTCGATTATACTAAAGTTAATGATCGGTTTAACCTTACTGAAATATCGCTGATAACTATTCTTTCAGCACTTTTTGAACCAATACGGCTATATATCAACTTCTCGTAGTGGTAACCACGACGTTAGTACGGCCATCCGACGATTTAAAAACTTCTATGGTCTCCAGGTCAGTGGGAGACTGGATGCCTCAACTGTCCGACTCATGAAGAAGCCTCGGTGTGGTATGAGTGATCCAACCCCAGACAGTCGCTTGCGAAGATATGCCACTCTTGGAAAATGGTTAAAGACTGAGTTGAAATATTTCGTCCAACCTGGTCAAGATCTCTCAGTTGTGAGTACATTCTGGAATTAAAAGTTCTTTTTGGTTGTTTTGCAATTGTTAATCCTATGCAGCCTGGGAAGGAGGGAATTTAAGGTGTAGGAGCTGATTTACAAACTATCCTTCCTTAAATAGCTTTTAAATTTCAGTCTTCACAATTTTTCACATTTAATACAACTTATCAGGAAACATTTTAGTTTTTCGATCGTTTGACCACCCCACGTGACGTTCATAAGGAAACGATATTTCCAAATGGTGCTTTGCCGAAATGTAATGGTTTTTTTTTTTTTTTTTCAATTATGTTTATAAAGGTTTCATCAAAGCAGATTTTTGACATCATTTATGTTTTGTATTTTGCATCCGTTTGGGTTTTTTTTTCTTGGCCATTTGTGGCCGGGTAAATAGTTTACAGGAGCCCTTCCCCCTCCCCTCCCACGTAACTCCTAAGACTCACCTACAAAAACATATCCCATAGGGGTAATGTAAATAAAAATAATCTATTCATTACTTCATTTTGTTTGAATTATTAAAAGGATAAGCAAGGAAAGATATTTGCTAAGGCACTGAAGTTCTGGTCCGACGTGTCTGGGTTGAGATTCTCTGAAGTCGGTAGCGCCAGTGAGGCAGACATCAAAATAAGGTAATTTGGGCGACTAGGTAGTAAACAGGGGAAACAAATCGCTTTTCATTTAAGTATCAAAGCGTAATTGATTCTCATTAACTACGCTTGACGATTGGCTTAACAAACTCGCGCCAGTTTTTCATCCAATTATAAGAAAACCAAAACCTTCGCATTCGTTTTCTCGCGCTTTGCGTCAGCTACGTAGAGTTTTGATTGGCTCACTGTATCGTCTGCTTTCTTTGTGATTGCCTAGAGTAATAACTTTGGCTTTTTTTTTTTTTACGAAACCCAACTGAAAACCGTTTTAAATAGGAATTAAATTGGAGAAATAAATCAGGGATAAAAAGACCTAATTCGCTGGATGAGTAGACAAAGGTAGTATATTTGATTTAAAACTTTGATGACAATCTCCAGGGTATCTAATTGAACTTTACAGACTGTTCATCTTAGGGTAATGCGTCATACATGCACATTCCAATCATCAAACCGCTAGTTTATTTTTTTTCCTGTTCCAGTAGTTAGAATGAGAAGCACCACTAAAACCTATATCTGTGTCATAAGGTAACAGCTTAAGTACTGTAATGATACCTACACCAAAGGTTTGCAGCTAAATTAAGAATTTAAGGATATTACCTTTACAGGGTGCCTTTTTATTAAAGTAATTCAATACAAGAGGAAAAAAACGGAATTAAAAATGCAGCAGCAGCAACTGACACGTTGGTCAATAAGTTGCGATAATTAAAATAGTCGAAATATTGATAGGTTTTAATCGTATAGGTTTACTATGAGTACACATTCTCTTTAATTAGCTTTGGGAGAAAGAGTCACGGTGGCACCAATGTGGAGGGGACATGCCTGAAACCATTCGACGGCCCCGAAGGGATTCTAGCGCATGCGGATTACCCTCAGAGTGGGCGAGCTCATTTTGACGAGGATGAGACCTTCACCGATGGTACTTACAGTGGTACAAATCTTTTATGGGTGGCAGTGCACGAATTTGGGCATTCCTTGGGCCTGCAGCATACAAACGTCCGGGGGGCGATCATGTATCCTTACTACACAGGTTACGTCCCTAACATGAAGCTCCACTCTGATGACATTGCTGGTATTCAATATTTGTATGGTAAGGGAACCCAAGAAGAGCTGTTATAAATTTTAGGGTAGTAGGCGATGGCATGGTAACATTAGGCGAAAACGCGCTAAAGAGAGTTTGAGTAATGCGCTTTCTATGGCAAACACGTTTTCAAACTGTTTTACCATAGTTAATAGAGGGAATGGTTATGAAATTCGACAAAGTTCTTTGTTGTATGTTTTTGTTTTCTTTTTTGGCCTTGGCCGTGCACAAAACGCAATAGTTGTTTACTACTGGCCGAGGAACTAACCAATAGAAACGTTTTGGTTACGTAACTTTTTCTACAGCTCGGTAAGTTGTGTACATAACGGCGCCAATCATTCAAGTCTTTACGTTAAAGCTTCATGCACCATAACCAATTTCCATCTCCATCTTGCAGACCAAGTGTTAGCCCTCGTTGCCGCAAAAGAATAAGGAAAGGTCAAAACATGGACTTGTCCAACCGTTTTCTCTACGGTCTCTCGACCTCGTGGTCGACCAGTGACTGTGACTGTGTGGGGGTGGGGTGACCCCTACATACTCCCCCTCTAGAAAGAGATGTCCTCCTGAACATTGGAACGCATTGCTACAGCTTTTTAAATCCTAGCAACAAAAACTACTTTGAAGGGCGATCAGGCGAAATCTACTCGCTAATAATTAAGATAGCAAATAATGACTAATTACCAACTACAGTGTTCTTTTGCGGTCTCTAAATTGCTTAACAGTTGGTCACTGAACAAGTCTCTTCGTTTTTCTTTGAGAAAAAAAACATGATGCCAATGTGTTAATAGTTTAATCAAGTCCAATAAAGGTTAATGAGTTCAAGTCTTTAACGCAGGCAATCTTGTAGTTTTCTTAAACAGCCATTGGTGGCACATAGTGGTAAATGTTTGGGGGCACAAATGGTACGGACGCTAAGTACAGTGGTGTATGATAAGGTATCATCCAATGATTGTGCATGGCTAAGGTTTCGTAAGGTGTGACAGGAAACCATGTTGAAGAGACAGAAACACTGCCAGTTGTCGCTAGAGTATTCAAAGCACAAATTGGATGGTAAGTCGGATTTCCAAGATGATCATAACTTAGAATATTTGGTGGATGGTGGTTTCGCACAGGACAATGAGACCCTGCTGGCTCTTGTGGGAGTAAGGGTTCCTGTTCTGTTTAGAGTCAGAAGGAGAAGAGTCTTCTGTCACTGACACTTCCTCACCATGTTCTGACAAATCCTCCATATCGTCAGGCAACAAATCTTCTTGGGCACCATCTGTTTGCCCTTGTCCATGATTGTCTGTTTCTGCTGTTTGTGTTGACAACATTTCGAACTCGGTGAGTGAGAGGTCAGGTAGCTCTACTTCAACCCCACTGTCACTACCATGTTGATGAATCTCTCTTCCTTGGCTAGCAGGGGCTGACCTTCTCCTCTCTTGGGTACGCTGAGGGACAGGTTTTGAAAAATCACTTTATAAGAAGTAACAAGGCAACAGATGATTTCTGTGGAGTATTCATGATTTGCCTTTCCGGCCTTCTGGCGTTACTTCGAATACAGGTAGGTCTCCCTTTTGCTCCACTATGAGATGTACTTCTTGCTCTCAATATGACCTAAGTTTCCCAAGACTACCACGCTCTGAGATATTACGTACCAACACTCGGTCACCTTGCTGTAAAATGGAGAACCTTACTTTTCGATCATATTGCTTTTTTCCATCCCCTGATGACTTGGAGATATTCTGCCTGGCCAGTTCATAGGCATCTTTCATTGCAACCTTCCATTTCTCTGTGTACTCTGTATGATTCATACGAGTGCTTCACGTGAAAGTCCGAAATTAGGTCAACTGGGAGGCGTGGTGAGCGTTCAAACAATAAATAGAAGGAAGAAAACCCAGTGGCATCATTTCTGCTGGAGTTATACGCATGAAAGCTTTGTTATGTGAGTCCTTCCACTTGTGTTTCTGGCTTTCTGGGAGAGTTCTCAACATAGGCAACAATATTCTGCTAAACCTTTCTACCTTCCCGTTCTTTTGGGGGTAGTACGGTTTTGTTCGCAGAAGTGTTACGCCACTAAGCTTTTCCAATTTGTGAAAGAGCTTATTCTCAAACTACCGCCCTTGAGATATACTCATAACCACCAGAACTTTGCTCCAAATGTAAAAGGTCAATTGACACTAATTCAAAGAGATATAAGGTGGTCACACGGTTTAGTGTTGCTCTTGTAGACAAATTTGGCTGTCGCTGCTTAAGACATGGGCAAACTTTGGTCACAAAGTGATTGATGTCATCCTCCATGTTGGGCAAGTAGAAACGTTCATGTGCCAACTGGACTACACGATGGGCTCCTAAATGTCCCATTTACTGATGAAGCTCTTGGAAGACAATAGTGGGAAACTTCTGAGGTGGCACCAGCTGGGAGTATGATCCACTCCTTCTAAACAACAGGCAATCACCATCACTGTAGAGTTTTTGTCTCTGCCTCAATAACACATTTGTGGCCGGTAGTTCACGTTTAATTTTCCTGTTTTTAAGAATGTGAGAAGTCTTCCTATCACCTGGTCTTGTCTCTAAACATCAAGAAGGGATCTTTTGCTAATTTCATCCACACTTGAACTAAGAGATACTTCTTAAATGTTCAACAAGCTGGAATCATTGCTGACTACAGACACCCAAATTGTCTCTCCTCGTCCTCGTGCTCCTACCACCACACAAAATGCCTTGATATCACCTTGGGACACAGTCTCAGTACACAGTTTCATGTAAGAATCAATGTCCATTGGAAATCTTGAGAGTGCATCTGCATCTTTATTNTTCTAAAATTGTTCTCCCTTTCAAGGTTGTCATGTTTTGTTGGATTATCCACGCGAATATTGACCCTCCACGTGGAACCTCCTGCCACGGTCACCTGTTTCCCAGGTATCTCAAGACCACCAGGCCAAGGCTGGTTTGGATCAAGTTCAAACAGTACTGTTATCTTATTAACTGGACGTACAACAGCACGACATGAAACAATAACCAACTGTCCTCGTGGAATTGCAGTATCTTCCTTTCTGGATTTTATAGTAGCCGATTTCTTTGCAGGGTCAGATGTAATGACTGAACAAGGGCCTCCCCCTTTTCTCGCTCAACACCTGTCAAACTTGAAGTAAGCAAGTCCCCTAACAATCAATTACCTCTAGCTGAAGAACCACTTTCAAAATGCTTAGTAATCTCTTCAATAACATTAAATCCAACAATAGGCATATCTAAGGAATCCTTGGCAATCAAAAACGGCACTTTAACGGTGTGGTCAAAGTCATCCTCAGTAAGATTAAAAGTCAGTTCCACCCAACCCTCATAGCGTAGGTCAGTTCCATTTGCTGCCTTCAAATCAAGCCCATCCATGCCCAGCAACTCCTCTATGTTCCGAATATCACACCCTGGAAGACACTGCTTCAACCAATGAGGCGAAATAATCGACACTTGAGCTCCAGTATCCCAAAGGGCATCAGTCTGTAGCCCATCGAGCAAGCATTTCGGTGCACTTACGCCCCACAAGACGAACTACCCGTGCATGCTCCTGTGGTGACAAATGACTCACAAAGACACCTGTCTTCTCTCTGTCTTCTCTACATTTTCGCTGTTCTAAAGAGGATATGGCCTGGCAAAGTGTCTTATGTTTACTCCAGTGTTTTTGTTGACATTTCCTTGAACAATATCTAACAGCTTTACAATTACTGCATTGCTTGAAAGAGGAGGTACCCTCTTTGCTTCCACAGAACTTGCATACATGGTGGGACGAATCCGCTCCGGCTACACCCTGTTCCGCTGACGTAGCCTCTGTCCGTTTCCCGACACCCTTTTACATCCCCTTGCAAAATGATCTGTTGAACCCCATTTGAAGCAATGATCGCAGTTGTCTACACCTGCTGTCCTACATGAATTACACTGCCGACGCCGAAACTGTGAATGGTTACCAGATGCATAAGGCGGGGTGGAGTTTCTTCTCTACTGGGGCACTGATTCTATCAAAAGCTTCTTTTAAGGAAGCAAGGTTTGACTGCACTTCTTCCAAAGCTCTCACTAGTGTATTTGGCCTTGGCTGCTCTTTCTGGGAGTTACTAATTTCATTCTGCGGTATTTGACTTAAACTTGGTTGGGTTTGGTTACTTGGAGGTGAAGCAGTTTCAACCTGGTTAATCCTTACCCCTTTCCTGCCAGCTAAACCCATCTTATTTTGGTGTTCTGCCCCTGCGGACATAATCTGAATAACCTTTTTCCATGAGTTGTTCATCAGCTACAGAAGCTACTTCCAGTAAAGGGCGCAACTTAGCTCTAGCTGCCTCATCTTTTAACCCCGTCACTATAACAGGGAGGAATAATACTTGGACAAGAGAAGGCTCATTCTTGATGGAACCATGAGTGGCGTTTGGCACAAAAATAATCTGCTGTTTTAGGTTTAAAGCTCGCACAAGAAAATCTTAGGGAGATTCACTTGCTTCCTGGTGCAAGACAGATAGTTCCTGTGACAGTTTCGTTGGTGTCTTTTGCTTAAAATGAGCTTTCATAATCTGCCCTAAGCGAGACTGACAGATCCTGTATCATCTCCAAGTATGACCTCAGTTTAAGGCTTGGACTAACTGCACGAATAACAGCTTCTACAGTCTCACTCTCTTTGTAGCCCGCCTTTATCCCCAATTCTATCTGTCGCACCAAACTAAAAACTGACAGTCCATCCTTAAAATTATCTCTCGCCGCAACTCCATGGATCTTGAAATCCCGCCTAAGCACCTTACTGACATCAACATTTACCTTTGTTTCCGCTCCTTGTGCTTTCTCAGTAACTTTTTCCGTCGAGTTAAGGGTTTCAACCTTTACTTCTGCCGGTTTATCTTGTGTTGTGTCATCTTCGAGCGGAGATGGTTTCCAATCCAAAAATGTAATTAGACCAACCAACAGCGTTTTCTTGTCATCCGCTTCGCCTACATCTTGCTCTATTCTCTCACGAATTCTCTTTTGAGAGCGCCAACCTTCCTAAGTCTTTCGTTTCCACTTGTAAATGTTCTGCTAATTGTGCCAGTGCATCCACTCCAAGACCACAGACTTTGGATTCAAGCTGCGGTTGAAGCTCCTCGATTTTGATTGATTTATTTACAAAGATGAACAAGCAAAACAACTGCGCTCGTGCTCGCCGGCTC